GATGTTCCAGGAACACTAGTGTTTCAACAAGTTTATAGGTGCTGCCTCACTCCTCATGTGCTAAAAGCAAGGTGCACCTTTGCAAACATTCTCTTGAATGTATTACACCACGGCTTCTAACACAGTAATGATGTTCCAGGAACACTAGTGTTTCAACAAGTTTATAGGTGCTGCCTCACTCCTCATGTGCTAAAAGCAAGGTGCACCTTTGCAAACATTCTCTTGAATGTATTAAATCCAGATGAGCCTGGGTGACTCATTGTGTAACAAAAATACAGACAGAATTGTCCTACAATTAAATCTTGTTAGCAGAGTCATAATATGGAAAATTGATGTATTTACTTACAACTATACTTATTATATAATTATGACTTCTTGATGAATATCTTAAGTTCTTTAAAAGAATTCCTATTTTAACACAAAACCTATTGTCTGCAGTTTTTCTTGTGAAATTATAAAAATTGATTTTGTTACTAGATCATTATTAATTCTTACTACACATCTTATTATTCTAAATTTTAAAAATCCATACATTTAAAAAGTTCATACTCTCAACACATAACCCTTCTACCCAATGAGTGTAGAGATTAACTCCTTTATAAACTAATAAAATGAAATTAATGTCTGCTTTGAATTCTGCTATGCTACCCATTTAAATAATGTTAGTATTTTTTTGCCTTCTGTTGACATACATATAAATGACTGTCCAATATGCCAGCCTGCACTTGCCACATTTCTTACTACCATGAAACTTACTTCCTAAGTAGATTACAGTCCAACACAATAGGCAGCTCATATGCAAGCTCACCTAACATGCTTTCAGTCTTTCCAATCCTTTTTATCATGTGTGTCCTTTTCCCCCTTCCTTACAAGTCCCTAAACATGTTCCTCACAATGGATCACATCCTGATAAACCCATCGTAATTTGAGAATGCATTTAATTCACCTTGCCTACCAAACACCATAACTTAGCTTACCATCAATATGCTCAGAATACTTATATCGGAACAGTCAGGAAATCATGTGACACAAATTGTACTTTATAATAAAGTGTTTCATCTTGTAATTTACTGTGGCAACATGATACACTGTAGAGTTTACCTTAGATCATGCAGCCAGCTAGAAAGGAAAGTTTACCACTACTGCCCAGCATCACAAGATCATACACAGATGACTAGGAAAAGAGCAAAGCTGAAAATTAGAGCTGGGTGCTGATGTGTCACTCCTGTAATCTTAGCTACTTGGGAGGCTGAGATCAGCAGGATTGTCATTTGAGGCCATTCCAGGCAAATAGTTTGCTCATGAGTCCCAGTCTCCAAAATAACCAGAGCAAAATGGACTGGGTGTGGTAGAGCTGCCTGCCTTATAAGCACGAAGCCCTGAGTTCAAACCCTAGTCCCACAAAAAATAAAAAAGAAGATGAAAATTAGAGGCAGAATTTCTACTTAATGTGTATTGCTTTCACATCATCGTAAAACTGAAAATGACAGGGAAAACATTATCTGCTGGGGACTTGTGAACTAGTAGGCATGTCTTTTCATCCCGTTACCCAGTCAATGGTGTCTGTGCATTTCTCTGTGTTGATGACTGTTGCACAGGCCAATGTGCCTGCTCAGAAACGGACTATCCTAATCATTGTCACCTCTATTTCTTCCTAAAAGTTTTTACAATTTTACTCTTGTTTCAATCTCAGTCAGAGATATTTTACTTAGAAGTGCTGGTCACCACACAGGCAAGTCTACTCTTTTGAGTTTCCTCTTTTGTTTGTGTCTTTCCTAACTTTTAACTAGTTTCATGTTGGACTCTTCTCAAGCATTATTATGCAGGATTCACAAACTTCCCTAAAAGCTTCTTGATTGTCACTTTAAGTCTTCACCTAGGGATCAGTTTGCCCCTTATACTTTCTAGAACCAAGAATTACAAAGAGAATTTTATTCCTAGGAGGGACCTTAGGTCATGGGTAAGTAAATCAAGGCTCATGGATGAAAACTGATCTGAGCCTGCTTTTGTGCAGCTTACAAGCTAGGAATGATTTTTACATTTTTAAATGGTTGGAAAAAATCAAAAGAAAATAGTTTTTCCCAGCAAATGTAAATTATATGAAATTTAAATTTCAGTAACCATAAGTTTTATTGGACCCTAGTCATGCATATTCATTTATATACTGTATGTGGCTGTTTTCACATAGTCATAGCAGAGGTGAGCAGAAACTGCAATCCCTGATCTACAGAATTACAAAAACAGGGATTGTTCAGAGAGAAAATGATTTTCCCAAGGCCACCAAAATTCATCCCCAAGGAAGGACAGGAGCATCAATTTCTTTATTCACCGAATGGCACAATCCTCATTGTGTCATAAGCAAGCTACTCATTTGAAAAATAAGGTTAATCTTACAATTGAAAGACAAGCAAATTCTGCTTTTCCTGGGGTCTCTTGCATTTCCAAGGCTTGATTACTCACAAATGACCCTATTAAGAAGATCAACTTCTAGATGACTATAGAAACAGACTTTCAATGAATAATTAGATAGTGAAGATTACATAAACCCTAAGAAACACTTAGTTAAAAAAAATGTTACTTCTAATGAGACAAAGTTACGTTAATGTTCATGCTACTGTATAATGTTCCACCTTCCAGGTTATTTTTATGTACATGTATATTCGTAGAAGCAAATAAGAATGACTTTCTGCTATAATTTATCACCTCGCTTTAAAATAAAGAAAAGAAATGAGTTGTGTTGCCTAGAGGTTTTTCACGTGGTCCACTCTTGTTGGGATAAATAATTGTTTGATCAAAATAGCAGATGGCCTAGTGCCAATGGCTGAGAGATGATTAATGAGCTTTCATTTGTACTCTAGAATCCCCTAGCAGCCTTTCAACATCCTTTCCTGATCATCCACCACCTTTCTGTACCTTTGCCTTGGGAGTGACTGCAATGTCTCCTCCAGGCATCCACAGATCTGTAAAGAGCAGAAAATGCACATATTTCCTGTTTCTTGCTTCCTGGACCAAAGAACCTAGCTCTCCTGGGGACTTCATCATTGCTCTCTGTAAACTTCTTACTGACAAGCCCCTTGAAGTAGTGAAGTTATGTCTGCCTTAGTTTCAGTAGAGGGTATTTGGGAAGACTACATTCTCCTTTATGGTTTGCTCCCTTCATTCCCCAAACACCACTAAGTGTGTGTAGCTGTGACCTGAAAGTACAGGTAGAACTACAGAGAATGGGCAGGTAACAGGATCTGGCAGGAGAATTCATTTAAAACTGTGTTAATACTAAATAGGATTGTTGCTGAAGTCTAATATGATTTCCATAGCAGGCTCAGAGCCTTGCTGCCCATCTCAAGTTCACCCTGCTCTGCCTCTCAAGGGGAGGCCTACCTTATCAACATTCACAGAATGAATTTTCCTTATTATCTTAGTGTTCCACTACGATAACCAGGTAGAGCTGTGTCTATTTTGGATCTCTGTCTCCTGTTCTTCACTAGGGCTAAACATAGAAGCATCTAAAAAAACAGAATGAACTATGATCTAGGGCTTTATTAAGGAATCCCTGATGTTGAACTCAAACATACCTTTAGGCATGCTGTTAACGAAGACAAAGCAAATTTATTCTAACTCACTATAGTAAGGAGAATCTTCCTTTGTATTGTGGGAAATTTAGAGAGTTTGGGTTTGGGCTCAAATGTTTTAAAAGTCTTTCAGCACAGATGAATTGATAAAATTTGACAAACTTCAGGATTGGTAGATACATTGAGGAAAGGTTCGTGATAAGTAAACCTTTGTTTGATAAATGATGCATTTCTTGAAAGAAACAGTTGCCTGAGATAAATTGACTTGTAGCAATTTTTTGGAAGCAAATAGTAAAGTTATTTACTAGCTTAATCTTATTTGGGGAGAAGTTTTTGTTGTTGTTGTTATTGCTTGTTTGTTTAGTTTTTGTTTTTTAGACAAAAACTAAGGCATCTTGACATAGATGTCAGTTCTCACTAAGATAATCTCTCATCTTCCATTGTGGCAGAAAAGGCCATGCTATGATTTGAATATGTCCCCAGAGTCCTTATGTTGGAAAATCAATCCATAATCCATGTGTTGAGGGTGAGGCCTAACGGGGGGTGATTTGTCATGAGGGCTCTGCCCTTATGAATGGATTAGTATCATTATTGTGGTAGTGGGTTAGTATAACAAGAGGGAGGTTGTTATAAAAATGAATTTGGCTCCCTCCTGCCCACTCCTACCTACTCCTACTCTTCTGCCTTCTACCGTGAGATAGTGCTATACAAAGGCCTTCACCAGATGCAGGTACCTACCCTTGAGTGACCCAACCTCCAGAACTGCGAACCAAATAATGTCTTTTCTTTACATATCACCCAGTCTTGGGAAATCTGTTATAAGAGAACAAAACAGATAAAGAAATTATGTGTTTTTCTTGTTATATTGAAATTCAGAAATGATGAGACATGCCAGGTAAATATCAAGAATATTCAATAAACGTTTAAAACTTATCTGGTTATATGGGAAAGATTTCACATAATATAAAAAACTGTGATTTTTTTTAATAAAATTATACCTGGATTTTATTAACTCCTTTTCAATTCATCTATCAAAAATGAAGAGGAAAAACCATAATAACATCAAACTTTTTCATTATCTTAAACTGAAATACAGCACTATCTTCCAACATTGTGCTTTTAAGTGTTAAGTCATGAGGACTCTGAGATCCTCCTGGTGGCAGTGGTGGCAGTGATGTTTATCAGCTCAGGATGGGTCCAGGATCTTGCTCCTTCTCCTTTTGTTGGGATCTAGGCTGGGGCCACTGCAAGTTGGGGCAAGTCAGATGACAGAAGTTCCAGTATGTGAAATGGGAGCACTCACTGTGGAAACCCTATCAGGCTGAGGCGCCTAGGGTGAGGTTGTTGTGCAGGAACTGTGTGGGGTCTGAGCTCATCTGAAGAGGTGTGGGCACAGGCAGTTCCTCATTGTGGAATCTGATGGGCAATGCCATGGAGATGACACAGTACATCAGCCTTACTCCAAATATGCAAAGTAAGCAGGATGCCTTGTGGAACCAGGTACCCTGTTTCCTGAGAGACTGGGAGTTGCAGGTGCACTTCAAGACCCATGAACAGGGAAGAAGAAGCTACCTGGGGGTGGCTTGGCAATTTGGTACACAAAGGATCGAATGTAGCCAGGGTCTGTGTTTGGAAACATGGACACATTTGTGGGGCTGGGAGTATTTGTAGACTGCTATCCCAATGAGGAGAAGCAGCAAGAGAGGGTATTCCCCTACATCTCAGCCATGGTGAACAGCAGCTCACTCAGATATGATCATGAAGGAGATGGGTGGCCCACAGAGCTAGGGGGCTGCACAGCCATTGTCCACAATCTCCATTATGACACTTTCCTTGTGAATCGCTATGTTAAGAGGTATTGACAATAATGATGGATATCCATGGCAAACATGAGTGGAGGGACTGCACTGAGGTGCCCAGTCTTCCCCTGGGCTACTACTTTGGCACCTCCTCCATCACTGGGGATTTCTCTGATAATCACAATGTCATTTCCCTGAAGTTGTTTGAACTAACGGTGGAGAAGATGCCAGAAGAGGAAAAGCTTCATGTGTTCTTGCCCTCAGTGGACAATATGAAGCTGACTGAGATGATGGCCCCACTGCTGCCCTTGAGTGGCCTGACCCTCTTCCTCATCATCTTTTTCTCTCTGGTGTATTCTTTGTTTTCCATTGTCATTGGTATCATACTCTACAACAAATGGCAAGGACTGACTGAGTGAGCCCTGCTGCTGCCACCTGCTCTGTGGCTGTCTCCTGTGAAGTGTGGTAAGAGAAGATGCTGGTCTGAGCACATAGCCTGGCAAGTCTGCTCCAGATTTCAGCAGCTGGCCAGGAACTGTTCCATCATCGGATCTCTGAATATAGGGATTCTGCATTCTCATGGTTATCCACATGGATATAATAACTGGTTCAGGAAGCCACCCATCCAGAGTGATGCTACTATGATATGCCTTTCCCTGCAGTCCTTCCACTTGGAAATGAAGAGGCATGGAGAGCATATACATATTATGATGCCAAATTCACAGAACAGAATTGACTGGACCAAGCATGGACTGTAATCAGTAGGCCTTTCTACAAATAGCTTTTTACCCAAGTCTCCATCTTCTTGAGGAGCTCTCCCTTGGAAATCCAGATTGAAATTTTTTCCCTGCCTTATCTTCTTTTCTGCCTACATTTATTGTCCTCTCCATGTGTGACATGGATGTTTAAGAGACATTTGGATGTCTTTGTCTTGGGGCCTGGGGCTGCAGAGCAAAGTTAGGTTTCTCTGACCCTCATTAGGAGGCCCTAGGGCTTTCTACTTAGCTCATTGCTCCAGTCTCTCTTCTCTAGTTGGGGTTTTGGGTCAGTTGGTGTGTCTGCAGCCTTCCTAATCAGATCCATCAGACCCTCCGTCAAGTTTGGCTAAAAGTCAGTGTGCAAGTCAAGAGAAGCTTGGAAGACTAACAGATACCATGAGATTATGAAACTGACCAATTCCAAATTTGACACAGAAAGCAACTTTTGTCATTTGGTCTGGCCACTTGAAGATGTGTCTGAATTCACTGGAGTCTACTTAGCTGCGTGTTTTGTGTTTATTATGATTCTTGGACTCTTGCTTTGAATGTTGGAAGTACAAGGAAGCTTTCTTATTACCTGGGCTTGAATACTGCCTCCCCAGAAGAAATTTTACTTCTCTTTCTTGAGAGAAAAAACAGCTGTTTCATGTTGCAAGTCTGGTTGCAAAAGACCCTGATCCTCTGTGTCTGGAAGAGTTTGTAATTGAACAATACAGCCTGAGTGCTCTCTTATGAATGTCAACCCTTATTTCACTGTCTTATATGACAAGGGGTCTTATGCTGCTCACTCTGTCCTCTCATTAAACTGGTTATAGGCCAGTGTGTCCCTGGAGATAAAAACTATGAGTTTTCTTATGGGCCTCTGTAGTCTAGGAAGTACTTAAAGTGACTGACATAAGCAGTCAAAAAGAAACACGAATAAAAATCTGAGAGCATCTAAGACAGCATATTTTCTAATTATACACATTAATATGCTAAAATTACTTAAGCAAACTCATGGAAATATTTATTTTCTTTCATGTATTTTATGAAATCTCTACCATATCATGCCAAACACAAAAATGAGGCTGAGATTTTATTGTTTAAGTTATATACATCATCAAGTTTTTTAGACTGTTGATACAACACTTTAGTTCATTTATTTTCATATTTTAATGGATTGACAAATAATAGCTATGAAAAATTAGGACTTTGTTTCCTCTTGAGCATGGATTTGCCATCTGCCCTTACAATGGCAGGGCATGAGCAGAACACAGAATAGTATAATTTTCTAAACCCTATTCTTAAAACTCCTACTATGTGCCAAGAAGATTCAGAATAATTATTACACACTGTCTTTATTGTTCAAGAGATCTAATAAATATTAATTAACTTAATTAGCCTGCACATAAAGATATAAAATTCAAGCTTCTCATTGACTCACTTTCTTGGAAAGAGGTCTGTGCCTAAGAAAGAATATAAAACATGCATGAAATTATGTATCTAAGAAGAAGACAGCAGGGCTTGGATCAGAACCTACATCCATTTGAGAGTGGTCTATGTCCATGCCAGTTCCATTGTCTGATGAATTCATATTCTGAGTCTGAATTTAGAATAAACATAGATATTTCCATTCCATTTTGGGGAGGTATAACTGATAAAATTCTAGAAGTTATGTGACATGCTGACACTTCATTTGCTCTCTCAGCACTTGTGACAATGAAGTGAGAGAATTAGCAGAGAAAAAAGTTACATCATATCAAAATTATCTTTTTTTTAAAGAAATTTTGTAACCACTGAATCTTATAATGGCATTTTTCAAGTTATGTTTTAGCACAACAAAGGCATGCTCTTTTTCCTCCTCAAATGGGAAACACAGTCTCACACTTCATTCATCTCTGGTTTATAGTTATTCATCTTGTATCTGAACCACAAATATTCCATGATGCCCTGCCAAAAGAGATAAAATAATGGTTAGGACATTGAGCAACAGGTAGCACAAAACTGTGTTCCATAATAGAGGGAAAATATCCAAGGTAAGCCATTTGATTGTGCCATGCTACTGCCTCTAGGAAGTTTGCAGGACACAGCACCTGATGGTGAACACAAACAGAATCTTGCAATCTTCATAAGTATAAAATAAATGGTAAGGTGACTGGGGAGGATTTGGAGGTAGAATTTCATACCATAACATCAGAGTCTGGACCTACACCCAGGAATATCTACATAAGGGCTTCCTTGAGTCTCTGTATATTTACAAGAGGAAATTACCCAAGATTGGAGAAAGAATCACCAAGTAGCAATAGCTCAATTAATTTATGAAGCACAATGGACTAGGGATTATTTTTGTTCCCACCAGATAACAATCAGAATATGTACTTCATCTATAATCTATAAGGCATTTCATCCAACAGAAAGTCAACAAGTCTTTAAAGAATCAGGGATATTTGATTCAAAACTTAGAGGAAAATGTCAATCAATGAAAAACTTGCCCCAAACCAGGCAATAAATTTAAAAGATAAAAATTTTAGAATAGCCCTTATAAATACATTCCATATATTCAAGAAGGTAGAGAGAAAAAGGATTATGATGAGGAGAGAAATGGACAGAATGATCCAAAGTAGGAAAATGTTAATAAATTAGACATCACCGAAGATCAGTGACATTGAAGACATAGTACAGAGAAAAGAGAAACAAGTAAGTAAAATAAGACTTCAAGGACTAAACAGAGCATCAAAGTGTTATACTTTGGAACACTGTCAAATAGTCTAACAAATATAATGGGAGTTCTAGAAAAGGTGGGAGATACAAAAAAACTATTTGAAGAACTAATGCTGAATATTTATAAATTTGAGGTAACATATAAACCTGTAAGTCCAAGAGACTCTTCAAACCTCATTACTGGTATAAAGAATTCTTAACTAAAGCAGATCACAAATTGCTTAAGAATCAGTGATGAAGAAGAAATTTTAAAAGCAACTGGAGAAAAGTAACATTCCACATAGAAAAACACAGATAATAAAACCTATGCAAAGCATAAGAATATAAAACAATAATCTTAAAGTATGTCAGGAAAAAAAAAGAGAGGACAAATTCCACACACAGTTCTTTAACCAGTAAGGATAGCTTTCAAAAAAATGAAGGGGAAATCATGCATTCTTCACATAAGCAAAAGTGAGACTTTACAGCAAATATGCACTTTAAAAATAATAAAAATAAGCTCCTAGTATATTAGCTTGTAAAAACTTCTATGACAAAATATCATAAAGTGGTATATTAAACATCAGAAATTTATTTTCTTTGTTTTGGAGGCTAGAAATCTGTGATCAAGATGTTGGTAGCTCTGGTCCTCTATCTTTGGCTTGGAAAATAGCCTCCTTATGTGTCCTCACATGGCCTCCTCTCTGGGTGCGTACTTCCCTGGAATCTCTCTCTGTCCTTAGAAGGACACCAGTCATATTGGATTAGTTCTTACTCATTGAACTTACTTTAGCTTAATCACTTCTTTAAAGGTCCTATCTCCAAATACCTCAGATCTCCAAGGATCTGAGGTATTCTTAGAATTAGGACTTCAATATATGAATTTGAAGATTGGGTGAGAATTCAGTCCAAACATTAAGGAATAGAAAAATGTTACCAGAATAAAATTGGGATCTATGTATAAATATACAACCACATACACATACAAGAATATTAGTAATGGTTAATATATAGATAAAGATAAAAGATTTTTTGACTCATTACTTGATCCATGTAAAAATTATCAATGTTGTAAGATTAATAAGTTTACTGTTCACTAACAAGCATAACAGCAATACCTTGAAGGACAAAGAACAAAAGTGAAGACATATTACTATGAGGTTCTTATACCGTATGTGAAGTAATATAATATTATCTAAAGATACAATGTAATAAAATTAAGTTAGTATACTGTAATGTTGAGTAATGACTAAAAATTAAAAAGATAAAATGAATTAAGCCACTTGTGATGATAAAAATTGAATCATAAATGTTACTCAATCTGCAAGAAGTAAAGATTTTTTAAAAAAAGGAACAAAGACTATATGACATAAATAGAAAGGAAATAGTAAGATGATATGTTTAAATCTAATAAAAATAATTACAATAAATATAAATACACTTCAATTATAAAATAGATATTAGGCTGGATAAAAACACAAGACATCACAATGTATTTACAGAAAAAATTTACCCTGAACATATAGCCTGATAGATTAAAAGTGAAAATACAGCTACAATATATATTTGGACAAAAAAGCTGGAAGACTTCTTGCTCCAAACAAGGTGAATAAGACACTGGAATTACCATAACACCTTAAATAACAAAAAAACCCTCAATATTTTTAATCATGGAACGTCAAAAAACTCAGAACACTGTTACCTGACAATGAGGAAGCAAATAATGTAAGCACAATGGTTATTCTAGTTTTACACCTGAATCCATGTGAGAGTGAAGCCAGGTAGAGCCTGCCAGTGACTCTGAGCTGAAGAGATGGAGCTGAGAATCTTGTGGAGAAAGAAGGCAAGAAATTTAGAATTCACCAGGAAAGATTTGAAAGGCAGATATTTGCAGAGAGTGAGAGCAACAGACGTCTGCAAAGCAACATTGTAATCGTTCAATCCTGTTCTGACCAATACATGTGTGAAACATGTATTGAACA